TTTTCTTGAGAGACAATGGTACTAGATGAGGAAAGTTTTTCAATTTATGCATTAAAATGAGTGCGTTCTTTACAATGATACTGTGTACTGTCAATATTTTATGTGAATAAAAGCCAGACTTGGTACTTGCTGGGGGGATACCGTCCTTGTACCAGTAATTGACGAAACCAGGTAATACTGCTCGAAGGCCCATTTTCTGTTTTACAAAAAGCGATTCAATATGAGACTTGGCAGCAAAACCCCATACAAGGCTGCAATAATTAAGGTGTGACTGCACAAAACTTTGATAAATTTGAAGACGTGCTTCGAGAGGCAGATATTTTTTAAGTTTGTACATGACTCCTATGTATCTGGACATTTTCATTTTCATGGCAGAAATATGATGGGACCAGTTTAGTTTATCATCTATTATAACTCCTAAAAAACGGGCTTCTGTTTTTCTCTCAATTGTGACACCAGAAATTGCCACATCACGATAATTAAGATTTCTTTGTCGAGAGAAGATCATATAATTTGTTTTCTTAAGGTTGAGAGCTAAACCATTATTATCTACCCATTTAACTAAAGCATCGCTAAGAGTTATTAGTTTATCGTAAACTTCATTAAGATTTTCTCCTATCAGGAAGATGTTGGCATCATCTGCGTACATAATGAAATTGGCTATATCTGATATTTGAGGCAGGTCGTTTATGTAGATTATAAAAAGTAAAGGTCCTAATATTGACCCTTGAGGCACGCCGTATAAAATTTGGTTGGTTGAAGATTTTGACGAGCCAATTGATACAAACTGTTTCCTGTTAGTGAGATATGACTTAAACCAGTTTAAGGCTTGACCCCTTATGCCGTAATGGTCCAGCTTGCGCAAGAGTATGGAATGATCCACAAGGTCGAAAGCTTTGCTGAAATCGATTAAAAGAAGTAAAGTTACCTGCTTTTTAGACATTGAATTAAGAATGGTGTCTTTTGCGTTGAGAAGAGCATGTTCACAAGACCTACCCGGGCGAAAACCGTATTGGTTTTCACATAGTATGCTGTATTTATCTAAAAAACTTATAACTCGGTTATGCATTAGCTTTTCAAATACTTTAGAGAAAGAAGCAAGAAGAGATATTGGTCTGTAATTTTTTATGTCAGATTTAGATCCACCTTTGTGAATTGGGACCACCTTCGCTTCTTTCAAAGCCTGTGGAAAGATCCCCTGTTCAAAAGAACTGTTGACAACGTGGGCTAGTACACTAGTAAAACTGGGACAGCTGTTAGCGATTTTTAGAGGTTCAATTTTAGTGTCTAGTGTGGCTTTATTCTTAAGCAGGTTTATGACGTCCTGAATTTCTGTGGCAGTGACTGGCTTTAAGTAAATACTACTTGGAGTGGCGTTGCGAAGTGTGCTATGGGTTCCACCAGGATCAAAAGTGGTCCTACTACTAATTTCAGACTTAATTTTAGGAGCGATGTTTGAGAAGTAATCGTTAAATTTTTCTGCTACAGCTGCCGGAGTGCTGATTGAGCCGTCTTCGTCAGTCAGTTTAATTGAAGTAGGTTTAGATTTTTTCCTATTAAGAAGACTGTTTATCATTTGCCACTGCTTCTTAGAATTTTCTTTGTTTTGCTCAAAAAATTTTTTGAAGTGCTTGTTTTTAGCTTTATCGATGTGTTTATTACAAAACTTCTTCAGACGGTCATATTTACTGCGGTTACTATCAGATGGTTCCTTAACAAAATCATAATATGACTCATTTTTACGTTCTATAGCTTCTTCGAGCCAGGGCAGCATCCATGGTTTCGGATTAACACGTTCATTTTGTCTTCGTGATTGTCTTTTTGTGGGATAGGCGGACTCGTAAATCTTATTATAAGCCGTATTTAAATTATTGAACTGTTCGTTGGCATCATTGGTATTGTTAAAAATTTCTGACCAACTTTCATCTGTAATTAAGTCTCTGAATTTTTGATTGTTGGTGTCGTTAAATCTACGTGTTTCAGTTTGAGATACATTTTGTGAGTTAGACGCAGAGCGGTAGCTGCTGGTTGGCGTGTTATCAAGATTTATTGTAGTGACTATTGCTAAGTGATCAGACATATCTGTCGTTAAGACGTTACAGCTTATTGTATCCTCAAGATTGTTTGTGTAGATGTGGTCAATGAGCGTGGCACTATGGTCCGTTAGGCGAGTTGGGCGTGATACAATTTGAATAAAACCGTAAGAGGACGCAATATCTATAATGTTCTGACATGCTTGGTCGCTGCTGTGCTTCAGTAAATCAAGGTTGAAATCTCCATGAAGCGTCATATGTTTACGGGTGTGTCTCCCTAGGTTGTGCAGCGTATTTTTGAAAATTTCTAGAAACGCTTCAGGTCTCCTAGCGGGAGAACGGTAAACATTGCCAATTATTTTCGTTCTGTTGTATCCTTTGCACTGATGGAGCTTGATAAATTGAAATTCGCCACTAGTATTAGTTGGTTCAGGGTTTGGAGTGAAAATATCAATTTTATCATAATCGACTACACGTTTGTGTACATAAGTGGCTAGCCCCCCACCTTTTCCAGATGGGCGAATTGGATCCTGGATAAATGGTTCATGAAATCCATCTAAGGTAACGTCGTTTATTCCGTTCGGTAATTTCCCTAAAGTGCAATTAGTTTCGTTAAAACACAATATATCATACTTATCATAAGTCTCAATATCATCACGTAATTGATCTATATTCTTAATAAGGGATCTTATGTTCATAGAAAATGTTTTAAGTTGAGAGCAGGTAGATTTTTTCACGTTACGTTGTTGTTTATACTGACAACTAGTTAGGAAAGATGAAATATTGCTCCAAGTTGAATCTTGATGCTCTTCGTTGGTCATGGCGTCGCCAATAAGATTAAATCGACTATTCTGATCGTACGGATTAAATATGTCACTATTAAGTTTACTGTAGTCGTCATAGATTTCATAGTAGGTTGCGTGAAATCCAGGAATGATACTTTCACAGCAACTCGTACAGCCTAAATTATCCTTAAAACATTTGACATGGACATTACTTTGACACCATGAGCATGTGCGAATATTTCTAATAGAGTAACACCAGCCGCTGCAGCTTGAACATTTGATCTTGACTTTATTTTCAGATGTAACAGTGGGTTCCATTTATAACTAAATATTATGATTATGATACTGATAGTATATAAAACTATAGTTCAAATCAGATTCTTTCACGAGAACCGGAGGTCCTGTATGCTACAGAATCGTGATATGATTTAAAAGTAAATTATATTATTTTAAGCTAAAATCGGATAATTAAGTGAAATAAAGTGTCCTTATCTAGGGCCTTATCAGTATGATTTAAATAACTGATTTGGCTAAAAAATAGAAATCGAATAAAGTGGTTGCTTTTGTGTTGTGTAGTTTTGTGAGGTGTTATTTGTATTTGATTTGTTTGTAGCGTTTACGTAATAAGGGACTATCGCACTGAACTTGAGTAATACTGAAGAGAACGCACTTGATTATTTATAGATTTGTATGTGAATTTTGAATGTTGTATAGAGTTATGAAATCTCATTGATTTAGGATGATACAGATTTGTAGAGTAAGATGTTTTGAGTGCGATCGGGTGATAAGAGATACTGATAATGAATGAGCTTATCAGATAATGAGAAAAATAAATTCCACCAATCAGATCATTTCATTATAATATGATCTATCTTGGTAACGATCTGTTAAAGGTGGACTGGAAGTTGAGAAAAAAGTGAATCGCATTTTTTAATCAGAATGGTATCAATGATTTGTAAAGCGCTCAGCTTCGGTTATATCTGGAGAGACTGTTAGGCTTGTGGTGATAGAGCCACTCACAGTTCCTGTGACGTCTCTGTTCAGATCCACATAACTTGCCAACGCAGTTAACAAGTTCATGTGCCACTACCCTTTGCACCTCGTGATATAAGTGGATGCCATGTCTGTCGTTGCGGTCCCATACGTAGTATGAGTTAGCACGCTTGATCACGGCATGGGCATCGAAAAAACTCAGATTTGGAATATCCTTAGCCAGGTTCAACATTATGATATTAAAAGCGTCAATCTCTGCATTCAACCAGTTAAATTTAGTCATAGATAAAGCACAAAACATAAACTCGGTATTCTTGTTATTGTTACAAGAGTCTATAAAACGGGGACAGAAATTGTCCGCAAGACTCCTGGCCGACTGCCCATACCTAGCTAGGTCATTAATGCCGCAGGAAAGTACGACTGCTTTAGAATGTTTGAACTCATGTTGATGTTCCAGTGAGTTCACTAGTTGATAGTTAAGGCGCTTTTGACATCGGTGGCCAGGTATCTGGTCGAACAGCCATTCTGGCGTTTCTCGGTGTATTGAGTCGTGAATTAAGAGGACTCTGGAGTGACGGGACGCTGGTGACTGTATCTGTGTAGGTGGTGCAACAGGCGGGACCCGAGTAGGGGCTGCAGGTGCTGGTAAGGCCGTGGGATCAGGCTGTTTCAACTTGCGAAGAGTGAGCGAGATTCGTGGCTGCCTTAACATAGGATCACGTTCAATGCCGTGCTGCCAGTGGTTCTGATCAGATCGAGACATTGCAAAGACAGAGCCGTGCTCAAGCGGGATGTTATGCTCAACGAAAGGGCCTGTCGACGTTGACATTCTCATAATTCTGGTAGAGCCAAATGATGCAGTGTAAATCAGACTATCTTCAACAATGCTGGATTCGCTGTCACTATGCAATGGAATACCAACTGACCCGTCCTTATAGTAAGTACAGAGGCAGGTATAGTTCGTGGGAGTAAAGTCAGGATCGGATTCATGCAAACAATCAAAAATGCGCTTTAGGACAGGTGGCAAGGGCTTATCATGGGTTGCACGGTGGTTGGTTCTGCCATAACTGTAAGGTACCGAGCCAAAATATGACGTTGAACGGCCCCCCGGGTGTTTCATGTTAAAGTCAAGCTCGCGGTAGATTTCATCAAAAGAAAGATCACCAAAGTCACAGTCCAAAAATCTTACCGGAGGTGGTGGGTTAGGTATGCTTTCTACTTCACCGGAAGGGGAGAGAGTCTGTGGAGAACTACTGCTAGCTGCTTCAACGATGAGAGAGGTCTGCTTCCTGGACTCTTCAGAGACTTCCTGGATCGCAGTGCAGGCTCGTTCCGTGATGCTGTTGACCGCCTTCTCAACCTCTTCATTAACGGTACATGAAATGAGTTTTAGACTCGCAGTTAATTTGTTCATTGTCTCGTCAGCGTCTAGGGCACATTGGCCTAATAAATGTTTCCTTAAAAAAGAAATTTTGTTGTCCGTTGTGCTTGCTTTAGTAGCACTTTTCGAAAGGAGGCGGAGTCTTTCGAACTCAAAATCTAAATCGGGAGCAGGCAGTAAGCTTAACAAGTGAAGGCATGTTGTTGCTGCAAACGTGTAATTCCCTGACACCCCAAGCCCCAACATACCGGTAGAAGGTGCTTCTGAGTCAGCGATTGACTCAGAAGCAGCTTTAGAAGCTAGTTTCTTCCTCTGGGATGATGTAGGTGTAGAGGTATTAGGTGTAGAATTTCGTCGCATGATCAGTATAAATCACAAGCTCAGTGCGATAAGAAAAGGTAGATTACAGAGGAAAAATATTGATGCGTAATGAAAGTAGTAAAATGATTATGATAAGCTACAAGTTCAATTCAAATCGGAAATATAAAAAGACTCTCAATATATGAACCTTATCTCCGAAGGTATCTATTTAATGAATTAATGGAAGTATTATTATATTTGAAGGCTTATTATACGACTCTATCAATTGTGTTCAAGTAACCATAAATTGAGACTGATTAAAAGCTCTAAAATCTAAAATATAAAATATAAATAAACCACAACGGCAGTAGCCAAAACTGGTGCCCTCCTGGTTCGAATTGACGATCTCTTCATATCAAGCTTCAATTACTGAAACATCAAACTTCAATCATTGAAACATCAAGTTCAATAAAATGGCTGAACTGGACAATGCAAAGAAGGAAATAGACAATTTGAAGAAGCAGCTACATGAAATAAATGATAAAAATGAGGATCTGAAGACATATGCCGACAAACTTAAAAATACAGTCAAAGACACTGCAAAGAAGAACGAAGATTTGAAGAAATATGCAGACGATTTATCGGACCGAAATAATAATATGCTCGAGACTAATCAGAAGCTAGATAATGAATATAGAAGAATGCAACATGAATTGGACAAACGAACTCAGCTTAAAGAACAGGAAATGGATAAAGCCTATCTTGACGGACAGAAAACTGGAAAATTGGAGCTTCTGGAGAAATGGGACGGAAATAGAAAATCAGATATACCGCTAAGAAAACCCGACATCTTTCGTCACGGGGGAAACTTTAAACGATGGCTAAAGAATTTTCAACATTTTGCGACTGCATCGAAAATCCCAGAAAACAAGAGATTGGATGTATTAATTACCTATTTGGATCAAACATGTCAATCAAAAGTCGACACATTGAATTTCGACAGAATGCAGAGGCTGGATTTTGAAAGTTGTTGTGAAAAATTGGTACGAACAATAGAGGGATCAAATTCGAAAGCAGAATGGAGAACAAAATTATTCTCAGCAAAGCAAGAACCGACTGAATCAATCACGGATTTTGTAACTCGTCTTAACGACATGGCGGAGCGTTGTTACGGCACAGAAAAATCAACAATTAAATCGCAGATTTTATACGACTGTTTCATCAACGGATTAGCGTCTGAACAAATCTGTTTTGAAATTATAAAAAACGGGACCAACGACTACGCGACGGCATATGGTCAAGCGCTAGATTTAGAAGCTATACACGCACTTCGAAGTGTCAAACCTAAAGTGGAAAAGAAAGAAGTGAAATTCGAAGATGAAGAAACAGAACTGTTCGCCATTCAGAATGGACAGATGCCGAATTTTAATAGACAAAACTATCAAAGACCAAATTTCGATCGTCAGTACAATCAGAGATCAAACTTCAATCGCCAACAAAATCAGAGACAGAATTTCAATAATCAGTGGAACGACCAAGCACCAAACTATGATCGACGAAACGATTTTCAAAGAAATAATCAAATGCGAAACTCGAATCGAAGAAACAAATTCTGTAATATTTGTCAATATAATAATCACAATACGGAGGAGTGCTTTTTCAGACAAACACCGATTTGTATGTTTTGTGGAAGAAAAGGTCATAAAATAGAAGACTGTTACACTAGACTGAATCAAATGGCAAGGAATAGTGCTAAACCATCGCAAAGCAGAGGCAATTATCGAGAAATACAAAAGAAATTCGAAAATAATTACAATGGGAATCAATCTCAGGAATATAGACCGCGAGCAGTAGAGCAGGAATATCAGCAACAACATATCGATGGAAAGGATCGATGGAGAAGATTTATGGAACTAAATAATCAAGAACTTGATAAACAGGAAAGAGAAGAATTCATGAAAAAGCGATCGAATTTAAACTAATTTGCGCTTTCAACGTCGATACAATAAATGAGGGTACTGAGGAAGAAGACCCGATGTTGGAAGCACAATATGAAAATCAAGAAAATTACGAAAATCAAGAAAATTGTGAAATCCAAGAAAATAGCAATAAAGAGATTGGCGAAAGTGGCGAAAATGTAAATAAAATCAACGATGGCAGTTCGAATATATACATTAAAGTTAAACTCGGGGATAAACTGATATTAGCAATGATTGATACCGGGGCGATAAAGAACTGCATGTCACATGACATGTTTCAGTCAATATTCAAAGACGTGCACCTAGAATGTACTGATCAAAAGTTTAAAACAGCAACTGGGTCGCCCATAAAAGTTTATGGTTGCATAACTCTACAAATGAAGATCGAGACCAGAATATGTGACGTAAATGTCACAGTATGTGATATCAACGAATCATTGATCCTCGGAAACCAGTTTTTAGAGGACAAAAGAGTGGTCATCAATTATAAATCGCTGTTATTGAAGGGTGATGACTTTGTGACACCAATGTTCAGAACTACGGAAACTCATCGGAGTTCAAATGTCGTAAATTTAATGAATAAAAGCATTGATAACGACGGAGTACTAGTATGTAAAATAGACAACAACGATTTTAAATTGCCTGGTACATACATATATACACCCAATTGCGAAATCTGGGGAGAAAATGTAAGCCCAATAGTGGTCAATATTACTGAAGAAGTGTTTGAAATAGATGTAAACGGGAACAAAGAGTATGAGCTTCATATACAAAAAGATACAATAGTAGGAACTATTGAAGAAGTACAGGTAAATGCTATTCAGCAGGAGCTAGAAACTTGGAACATGAGTCCTGCCGAAAGATTAGAAATATTAGTAAAACAGGTCAAGTTATACGAAAATGAAAATCTAACAGATGACGAAAAAATGAAGGTGAAGGAGTTACTTCTCGAATTCCACGACATATTTTCATTATCAAGAAAAGAAATGTCATTATGTACAATCTATAAACACGAAATAAAGTCATCACACCCACAGGTAGCGATGTGGACTGGAGCCGGGTCAGCACTCCTTCAAGTTCACCACCTCCTCCCCCGCCCCCTGAAAATCTAGACATAGAAATGGAAGAAACACAGTTGCCAGAATCGAGAGAAGAGGACAATGAAGCAGAACCAGAAGTCTGGTCAGAGGACCCGGTACGTACCACGGCTCATAGAAGGAAAAATGAAAAAAGGAAAGAGCCCAAAAAGAAGAAAAAGAAAGACTCTTCAGAGGGAAACCCCTCTAGCAACCGGACTTATCTGTCCAGCGAGGACGAATTTCTTGAATGTGATATACTTAGTAATTAATTTATTAATACTCAAAATCCAAAAAATCATGTATTTAACGTGTTACCGGACAGCACCAAATTAACGGGGTTATAAATAAATATACCTATAGGTATATGTCGTTTGCAAGGACAGTGATAATACTGGTCTCCATATCGATAGCACAAACCACATTACTACTCTGCTCTGAAGAATATTGGGGAAAGCTATACAAGCTATCAGAAAATTTAAAATGTAAAAATAAAAATTACGTCAAATGGAATATTTCCATCTCGAAACGTAACATCGCGGAATACGAATCATCAGCCAATGCTCTGGTAATAATGTCTCGAACCTGTGAATCATATATGAATTTTGTGGGAGAAGAAACAATCACGGGTCAAAGTAAAAGAGTAATCACCGTAAACCCAGAAAGGGCTAAATATTTGATTGAAAATCGAAAATGTATTAACGAAAAAGGCGAGTATCAGACGAAATTGGTTAATAATTTTAAATGTGACTTCAAGTGGCTGGAACACAGATCTAAGACTACGACATCTTGTTATTTCTCGGATGGAGTAGTAATAGCGAATCATGAGGATACATTTACGTCCTCTTTGTCAAATATGGAGGGTTGCGACTATAGTTCAGGGTACTGTCTAACGCATAACGGAAAACACGTCACTTGGAACGTGATTGAAAATGTAAAAAGGGCTTATTTGCCTGTGGGGCAGTTCAATGCAACACAAATCGAAAATAAGCTACTCGTACCCGAGTTGAGCATGTCATTTAATCTGCCGGAGAAAAATCCGGGTAACACTTGGATCGATAGGGATTTCCAAATAAAGGGAAGCCCAGCCCCGTATCAATTTAATCTTGAAAATGTAAATTCGAATAATGAAAATGCGATCGAAGCAATAAGAGAGGAACTCGTCAATAAATTTAATTATCTTTTGGAATTAATTAAAAGTCCGTTGGCGCAAACGGAGTATTTGTGTAACGTGTACAACGACATATATGGGACTGAGAGAATCCTAGCGAAAATCGATCCAACTGATTACGTACAATGGAAGTTAAATAGGACGGATGTAAAGGCTAAATTGGTCGGAAAATTGTTAATGATTTATCCTTGTCTGCAAATTCAACATTATCGATTCATAAACGACACCAACAGGTGTTATAACGGGTTTAAAATAGAATATAATCTGCCGGAAAATGATGAATATATTGAGGGCTATGTAGATCCTAAGTATAACATGATAATGCCTACCGCAATAGAGATAGATTGCCACAACTCTACGACCCAATATATGATGGTGAATAATACGATTCTCGCTCAAAGTGCTCATGGGTTACACGAAATGAGGGTAAACCTTTCAAAGGTAGAAAGTATAGACAGAGTGAAACTTACTGGAATACCCATGTCTCAAGATTTTCAAAATTGGATATATAATACGTCTGAATTGAAGCACCATGATATTAGCGATTTAATCCTGAAGGAAATGGAAAATGAAATTAACCATTTGACGATTGATAAAACGGAAAAACGAAATGTAAAATCCAATTGGCGGGAATTATTTGGAATATTCGGACAAAGTAAGTTTACGATTATATTTGCTATTATTAGCAACGTACAAAGCATCGCCGTATGGTATCTAATCTGGAGGTACATTATAGTAGAATTAATTATAAGTAAATGCGTCGATCGCACCAGAGGACGGATCCCAGTTAATGAGGGCCCAATTGACCGGGATGGTCAGGATGATACGGAAGTT